AAAAACATACAAAAATCAGCTGGCTGTGATGGCACGCACCTTTATTTCCAGCCTCTCGAGAGGCTGAGGTGGGAGGATCACTTGAACCCAGGAGTTGAAAGCTGCAGTGAGCTGCGATGGTGCCGCTGCACTACACCCTGGGTGACAGGGCAAGAACTTGTCTTAAAATAAATAAATAAATAAATGAAAATAAAGAAGGGAAATAAGTGGGCATGGTGACTCGGGTTTGTAATCCCAGCACTTTGGGAGGCTGAGGCTGGCGGGATCACCTAAAGTCAGGAATTTGAGACCAGCCTGGCTAACATGGTGGAAACCCTGTCTCTACAAAAAAATAGAAAAATTAGCAGGGTGCGGTGGCACATACCTGTAGTTCCAGCTACTTGGGAGGCTAAAGCAGGAGAATTGCTTGAGCCTGGGAGGCAGAGGTTGCAGTGAGCTAAGATTATGCCACTGTACTCCAGAGCCTGGGTGACAAAGTAAGACTCTGTCTCAAAAAAAGAAAAAAAAAACCCATAATAAACATAAAAAATAGATGTATATTATAGACATTAGAGAAAGTCCTAGAAAATATAAAAACAAAGAGGTATAATTAATAAATAATAGTAGAGATAAAATGGAATCATGAAAAACAATTATAAAGAAGAAAGGAACAGGCTGGGCATGGTGGCTCACACCTGTAATCCCAGCACTTTGGGAGGCCAAGGCAGGTGGATCACTTAATGTGAGGAGATCAAGACCATCCTGGCCAACATGGTGAAAGCCTGTCCCTACTAAAAATACAAAAAAATTTGCTGGGCATAGTGGCACGTGCCTGTAGTCCCAGCTAGTTAGGAGGCTGAGGGAGGAGAATGGCTTGAACCCGGGAATTGGAGGTTGCAGTGAGCCGAGATTGTGCAACTGCACTCCAAGCGACAGAGGGAGACTCAAAAAAAAAAGGAAAGAAAATAAAAGAAAAAGAAGAAAGGAACAAGCAAGGAACAGGACAAAACAAATGGCAAGCTGTTGGAACTAAATCTAACCATACTGACACTCACTTGAGATATTAGTAATCTAAACCAGGAATCAGAGAACTTTATCAGTAACAGGCCAGAGTGGCATGTAAGTTTTGTGGACCATAGAGTCTCTGTCAAATCACTCAACCCCTTAGTTGTAGCAGAAAAGCAATTTTAAACATGTAAACAAATGGGCAGGGTGTATTCCAGCAAAATATATATAAAACAGGTGAGGCCAGATTTAGCCTGGGAACCATAGTTTGCCATTCCTTGATCTAAACACTACAACTAAAGGCAGACATTGTCAGATTGGATAAAAATGCAAGAACATAGCCAGGCATAGCACGTGCTTGTGGTGCTAGTTATTTAGGAGGCTGAGGCAGGAGGAATGCTTGAGCCTAGGTGGTTGAGGCTACAGTGAGTTGTGACTGCACCACTCTACTCCAGCCTGGGTGACAGAGCATAACCATGTCTCAAAACAATAACAACAACAAAACAGCAAACAAAAACTATACATTGTCTACAAGACACCCTCTTTAAATTTAAACACCTGGATAGTTTAAAAGTAAAAAAAGATGGGAAAAGCTATACCATGCAACCACCAATCATAGCTATATTAATATCAGACAAAGTAGGCTTCACAATAAGGACTATTACCAGGTCAGAGCAAAGAGGGAATTTTCTAATGATAAATGGGAAAAGCAATCATAAATGTGTAACTACATAATAAGTGAGCTCCAAAAGGCACAGATGAAAAACAGATAAAACTGAAAAAGATATAGAGAAATACACAATTATCATTAGTTATTTCAACACTGCCCTATCACTGATAGAACAAGTAAACCCAAAACTAATTTTAAAAGACTGACCAAGCCTGTAATCCCAATACTTTGGGAGGCAGAGGTAGATTAATCACTTGAGCCCAGAAGTTCTAGACCAGCCTTGGGCAACATAACAAGACCTCATCTCTACAGAAAATACAAAAATTAGCTGAGTGTGGTGGCCCATGCCTACAAACTCAACTACACAGGAGGCTGAGGTGGAAGGATCACTTGAACCTCGGAGGTCGAGGCTGTAGTGAGCCATGATCATGCCACTTCACTCTAGCTTTCGTGACAGAGAAAAACCCCCATTTCAAAGAAAAGAGAGGTCAGGCATGGTGACTCATACCTGTAATCCCAGCACTTTAGGAGGCCAAGGTGAGTGGATCACCTGAGGTTGGGAGTTTGAGACCAGCCTGACCAACATGGAGAAACCCTGTCTCTATTTAAAATATAAAAGTAGCCAGATGTGGTGGTACATACCTGTAATCCCAGCTACTCAGGAGGCTGAGGTAGGAGAATCGCCTGAAACCAGGAGGCAGAGGTTGTGGTGAGCCGAGATTGTGCCATTGCACCCCAGCCTGGGCAAAAAGAATGAAACTCCATCTCACAAGAAAAAGAGAAAAGAAATTTGTATACCCATATTCACCATATTCATAGCAGCATTATTCAAAATAGCTAAAATGTGGAAGCAACCCAGGTGTCCATCAACAGATGGTTGAGCAAAACATGGTATATATCTACAGTGGAATATTATTCAGTCTTCAAAAAGGAAGTTCTGACACATGCTACAACATGGATGAACCTTGAGGATATTATACTAAGTGAAATAAGGCAGACACAAAAGGACAAATATTCTGATTCCACTTTTGTGAGGTACTTGGCGCAGTCACTTTTATACATACCGGAAACAGAAGAGTAGTCACCAGAGGTTAGAAGATTGAGGAAAGGGGAAATGGGAAGGAGGTATTGCTTGATAGGTTTACAGTTGCTGTTTTACAAAATGGAAAGGGTTCTGGAGATGGACGTTGGTTGTACATTATGAATGGACTTAGTACTGACTGTACACTTAAAAATAGTTAAGATGGGCCGGGCGCGGTGGCTCACGCCTGTAATCCCAGTACTTTGGGAGGCCGAGGCGGGTGGATCACGAGGTCAAGAGATCGAGACCATCCTGGT